TATAATCCCAGCACTTTAAGAGGTCGAGGTAGGCAGATCATGAGGTCAGGAGATAGAGACCATCCTAACACGGTGAAACCCCATCTCTTCTAAAATACAAAAAATTAGCCACGTGTGGTGGCGGGCGCCTGTAGTCCCAGCTACTTGGTAGGCTGAGGCAGGAGAATGGCGTGAACCCAGGAGGCAGAGCTTGCAGTGAGCCGAGATCGCGCCACTGCACTCCAGCCTGGGTGACAGAGCGAGACTCCATCTCAGAAAAAAAAAAAAAGAAAGAAATACGTTGGTTTCATCCCGAAAGGCAGGACAACTCAAACGTTGGAGCAGGGGAGGGAAGCTTCCAGGCTATTGGTGAATTTAAACATTTTCTGGTTGACAAATGGTTGAGTTTGTCTGAAGACCTGATTGATAGAAAGGGAGTGTTCAGGTCAAGACAAAGATTGTGGAGACCAAAGTTCTTTGAAGTCTTATAGTCGCTGCCCTTAGAGACAATAGATGACAAATGTTTCCTATTCAGCCCTTTCAAGGGGTGCTAGACTTTTAATCTCTTTAGGATTGGGAGGGCCTGGAAGAAAAAGATCTAGCTATGTTAACAGAGATTCTTTACAGATGCAAATTCCGCCCCCCCAACACACACACAGAACAGCTTTGTAGGGCCATTTCAAAATATGGCAAAGAAACACATTTTGAGGTAAACTACTTTGATTTTTCTTCCTTGACTTGTAATGTTATGCCAGAGTCAGGTTGGAAAGTAGGTCATAATATACAGGGTTAAATAAAACCCATCTGATGAGAATTTATGATTTGCAGGGCAGGACTCCCCAGAACCCTTAGATAGGAATTTGGGCGAGAAAAACAATCAGTTTAGTCCTCAAGGTGATGGTCCTGCAGTTGTCACACTGCCTCTCTAAAAATGATCATTGGTCGCACGCATCAGAGAGAGGCAATTTCCCAACAGATAAAGTTACCTGAAATTGGTCACCAGTGGCTTCCAGTAAAGTCTCAGGAATTGGGTGAGTGGGCTAGAGCATGCGCATTAGGAGACAAAATGGCAAGAGCATGACCTTCTGGGGGCATCCTACCGGAAAAGGGAAGCAGCCTCAGGTGAACATACATACAACTTTTCAAACACACTGTGAATGCTCACATCCTGAGTGCAAGGAGGGCACCGTGCATGCAGGCAGCCCACCCTTAGGTAAGCATCACAGGAAAACAGACACAAGACCCCAGAAGTATGCCAACATACAAAACCCCAAGTCAAAAGGTCAAACGCTGCACTTGACCTCCAGAGTGCATGCTTGGGTCTCTTCCAAGTGTACTTTCTTTTCTTTCCTGCTCTGAAGCTTTTTAATACACTTCCACTCCCACTCGGAAACTTGCCTCAGTCTCCTTTTTCTGCCTTATGCCCTTCAGATGAATTCTTTCTTCCAAGGAGGCAAGAGCTGAGGCTGCTGCAGACTCATTAAATTCGCCACTGACAGCTGGGATATTCGCCACCCCTAACAGGAGGATCGCTTAAGTCTGGGAGTTCAAGACCAGTCTGGGCAACATGGTGGCGCGTGCCTGTGGTCCCAGCTACTTGGGCTGAGGCAGGAGATCAGTTAAGCCCAGGAGGCTGAGGCTTACTGTAGTGAGCTGAGATGGCGCCACTACACTCTAACCTGGGCAACACAACAAGACCCCGTCTCAAAAAAAAGAAAAAGGAAAAACATTGTTATACAGCTGTACAATGTGTGTTTTAAGCTAAGTGTTATTACAAAAGAGTAAAAAATGTTTTTAAAGTTCATAAAATTAAAAAGTTAGAAATAGGCTCAGGTGAATGTGTTATTGAAGGGATTTTTTAGTATAAACTGAGTGTGGCCTAAGTGTGCTGTTCATCCAGCCTGCAGCAGGGCCTCAGGGGCACCCCCCTCCCTCACGGACACCCACAGCCTTGTCCACAGGCCCCAATCAGGGTGAGTGTCCTCCACAGCTGAAGCATGTTTTCTCTTTTACATCATATTTTCACTGCACCTTTTCTACGTTTAGCTGCACAGACACTTATCATCGCGTTACAACTGTACAGCATTCGGCACAGTCAATGAGCCGTGTAGGCGTGTGTTCCGAGAGCGAGAGGCCGTCCCCCATAGCCTGGGTGTGGGGCAGCCTGTCTCATCTGGGAGCGTGGGGCACACTCTCATGTGGCAGGATGATGAAATCACCTAACAACGCATTTCTCAGAATGCATCTGCACTGGTAAGTGACACATGACTGTGCTTTCTCATGAACCACCTTTTCCCAGAACGATGAGGTCCACAATACAGTTTTCTGAGCAAAACCAGCAACAAGGAAGGGTCAGGCAGAAATGAGCTGGGGCAAGTCGGCAGAGGGCTCGGCCTCTTCCCTGGGACTCTCACCCACACAAGGCTCTTCTGCACGAGGCCCGGGTTCCTCGTTCTGTGACAGTTGTGGCCCTGGAGAGTAGCCCCAGCGGACGGCAGGATGAGAGGGAAAATACGTGGCCTCAGCCCCTCCTCCAGGAAGCTTGCCCTGCCAACCCCAACAGACCCCAGAGCTTGGCCATGCCATGAGCCAAGGCCTGTGCGATGGGGTGTCTGAATCCCCAGCACCAGTCCAAGGGGCTGCGGTCACCATGGTAACTCCACTAGGGCGCCTGTAGGCCCCAAGACCACAACGCTCACCACAGGTGGGTCTCCTCTGCAGCAGATGGGGCAAGTTCGGGCGCCGGGGGACAGAGGCTGCCTCTCAGCCAGTGAGACCTAGGGCCTGCCTGGCACTAGTCTGGAAAGCAGTGTAGATGCGCTGTACTCCTGGCGAGATTCCCCCTCCTGCCCACCTTTGTGGCATTCCCTCAATCCCACCTGTCCAGGGGAGACCCACTCAGGCTCTGAGAAGTCACTGGGAAGCCCTTGGGGCTGGCCACAGCCAGGCTGCCATGATCAGTGCCCCACCCCATCCCCCGCCAAACCTCTATCTGCCCACCTTCATCCACAGATGCATCGTTCATTGCTGCAAGGTAACCATGCCGGACCCCCGGTCACATGACGTGTGGACAGGGAAACAGTGGTGCTGGGGGGTAGTAAGAAACGGTACCTAGAACCTGGAGGTCAGGTCAGGTGATGTGGTCACCAAGGGCCGTTTCTACCAGCTGATTGTGCCAGGTGACACAGAGGGGCCTATGGCCATGGTGGGCCCTACTTAGCACAGCTCTTGGCCTGGCAGGACCCCATCTGGGAGAGCCAGGGCCACCCCACATGCCCCCAGCCCCATCTGATGCTCCTTTGAGACGGTGTCCTTGCAGATCATGACTGGAAACTGCTGTGCCAAGTGTGGGGGGAGCTCGTCTTCCCCAGGGCCACCACCCTCGCCAGGACTGCAGCACTGGAGCCAGGTCTGGAGTCCAGCCACACCGAGCGCAGAACCAGGCTCTGTGGCCACTCTCCTGTCTCCCCACACTGGAAAATTAAAGCAGGGGCTCTGGGCTTGGGAAAGACCTGGGAAGGGGAGAGGAGACATGGGCCCAGCAACCTGGAGCTATCCTGGGCCTGGCAGAGGCGGTGCACTCTGGCCTGGGGCACACCTTGGGAGGCCCCGAGGCTTGGGTGGCGTCCTGGGCTTAGCTCAGGTGTGCCCCTTCCAGGAGGCGGTGGCAGGGCTGCTCCTCTGGGCCAGGCTCCCTGCACTCCCCGCTCTGCCATCCCTTGATGTCGCCCCAAGCCCCTCTGTGGCTGGGCTCAGCCCTTCCTGCTGCAGGGAGAGCTCCAGCGAGACTGCAGGGCTGGGAGGCCGAGGGGCATCAGGTCACTTGTCCTGAAGTACGTGACCCTGGATATGCTGAGCAACAAAACCCGCAAACCCTGGTGCAGCTTGGCAGGAAGATGCCTCAGGGCCTAACACAGCGGCTGAGGGAGGGCGCGGCTCTGTGGCTCATCTTTGGGAAGAGAGTTCTTTCCATCTTCCTGCTCCACCACCCTCGGTGCTAGGCTCCTGGTTGCTACCTCGGGGCTTCTACATTAGGTGTCCCCTGCAGGGAGAACTTCCCAGTGTGGAGACCCCAGAGGCCCCCGCAGAGCTCCCTTGTGCCTCACTAGCCAGAGCTGCAGGGGCTCGACCAACTGGGGCCTGCCCCAAGGGGCCACGGAGCGCCAGTCTCCCAGTAAGACGAAGGGTGGACGCTTCCAGGGCCAGGTACCTGCTGGCACATCCTCAGCCTGGGCTCTGGGCTCTGGGACTGACTCAGAACTCAGAGGGCAGGGTCTGGGTCCGTGGCAGCACCGCCCTGGGGTGCTGCAGAGCTGAGGTGCCTTCAGAGTGGATGCCCATTTATTCTCACTGCTCAGGAGTGACGAGTGCGGCGCTGCCATGGAATGCCACACGGCGGCCGCAAATAACCAGGTGGATACACCCAGTGGAGAGGCACCAGGGTACGCTGCAGAAAGTCAATGGCAGAACAGTGTGGTCTGCATGTGACCTTTTGTATAAAACCACAGAAATAACTTTAAATAGAAACATCGCGGCCAGATGCCATGGCTCGTGGCTGTCATGCCAGCACTTTGGGAGGCTAAGGTGGGAGGACTGCTTGAGCCCAGGAGTTCAAGGCCAGCCTGGGCAACATAGCAAGACCCCCGCCTCTAACATTTTAAAAGTTGGCCAGGCATGGTGACGTGCATCTACAGGCCCAGCCACTTGACAGGCTGAGGCAGAAGGATGGCTGGAGCCCGGGAGTTCAAAGCTGCAGTGAGCTATGAACGTGCCACTGCACTCCAGCCTGGGCGAGAGATCAAGACCCCATCTCTCAATAAAATAAAAGAGAAACAAATCAGGATTTTTTTTCTAGAAAGACTAAAAAGAACTGCTGCAGTATTTCTGGGGAGAGGGTCTCGTGGAGGAGGGAGGAAGGTGTAGGTCTTACCTTTCTGTCGTCTGTGATATTTACAGTTCTAAAGCCCTGTCAACAATTCACCTATGATTTTTTTTTTCATGCCACTTGAGTGGCCCATGTGAGGAAATTATGGGTGTTTTGTTTTATTCTCTGTAACTGTAAAAACAACCTCAACAGAGCAAGCCTTGTACCTTTTTTAAAAATACCAGTCTGGTGGATCCCTGCTCCAGAGCGGCTGCCCTCCAGTGTGGTGAGAAACGCTGGCAGATACAGTCTTGCTTCCTGGGGAGCCCCATCCTCTTCACAGAGCTGGACATGGTGGGGCAGGCGTCGGACAGCGCCCTGGGAGGGGCCTGTGCAAGGCATCCCCAGCTGCTCTCCCCTAGGAGACACTGTAAGGATCTATGCACCATCTTTGTGATACGAAGATGCTGTGCACGTTTCAAGTGGTTGCATCTGAAACAAGCCAGGCAACCAGCTGGGGGCTTCTGAGTAACTGTGGCTTCTCTGGCGGGTGATGTTTATGAAACACGGTTCATCGGCGTGAGGATCTAGAGAAAGCTGGGAGGAGGTGGGCTGAAACACAGCCGGAGCAGAGACCGCAGCACCGAGGATTGCTGGGGAAGCTCTCCTTGGTTTGGCCCCCACCGACCAGGCCTTGGCTGGCAAGGACACAGCTCATGGAATCTTCTTCCTTGGGGTGGTCCGGGATGGCCGCAGCTCCGCAGGCCCATGGGCAAATGGGCAGCAGTCCGCGGACAGAGCACAGCCGTCAGGGTGATGCGTGAAGAACCAGCAGAGGCGGGTTTTGCAGGCTTCGGAGAGCACTCTCTGTTTCGCTTCCGGTTGCTTTGTTTCCCACAGCATCTCCTCTCTCCAGTCGCGGATGTGAACTCTCCCATTCACAACTGTGGTTTGGAAAAGAGAAAAGACACACTGAGAAGTAAACCTGAAAGTTCCTTAATTCACCAGCCTCTGCTTAGCTCCCACGCCATGGGAGGTGCCAATCCAGGGTCACCGTGACACAACCGTGACACAGCCCAGAGTTCCTGCTGGTCACAGAGAGCCTGCCTCCAGTGGGAGTGACCGAGGTACGGGATGGGTCTTCAGGCAAGGATGGGGAAGGTGAGCCCTGCGGGAGGCGAGCGGTAGCCCCGCGCAGGCCCAGGAAGAGCACTTTAGGCAGAGAAGCAGCAAACCCAAGTGTCCCAGGACAGACTGCACCAGGACAGGCCGCGTTTCAGGGACAGCCAGAGGGGAGGGCAGAGGACAGAGCTGGGTCCCAAGTGGCCTCATCGTTGAGGCCCCGACCTTCCCTCTGGCTGAGTGCCAGGTCCTGCAGAGCCACCATTTCAGAAGGATCACTTGAGTGGAGGAAGGATGGCACACAGTGTGAGAGCCAGAACACGAGAAAACATCTGTACTGCAGCCCTAACCTCTGAGGACTGTCTCAGCATCACATGCAGAAAGAGGGGCAAGGCGCAGGTCCCTCCACACAGTCTAAGGACAGGGCTGCTGCAGGGTGGCCTCTGCTCCTTGGTGCCATCCTGGTGCACTGGGTTTACATGCACCTCCCAACCGGAGCCCCTCCAGGTGCAAGTGTGGAGTAAGGGAGGCCAAGGGGCTCTGGAAAGGAACAGGAAGGGGTACCCGCCTCTGCGCAGTGGTTTAGATACCCACTCTGGAAGTGCCACTGGGACTCAATGGCCAGGGCTGACCTCCAAACTGGGGAGCTGGAGGGACATCAGAGTGGGGTGGGGCCAGGAGAGGGCTGCTGTGGGCCCGCTCGTCACCTGGGTGCCAGGCCTCGCGGGCCTCCTCCAGGCTGCCTCCTGACCCTGCCCCCCAAATTGGGCCAAGATACCCCCTACACTCCCATTTGGCCGTTTCCTTGTGGGAAGCCAACAACTCCCTGTGACACGTGGCCAAAGCAGCCACCGCCTTCCTGGCTCTCCCTGGAAGCCGGGAAAGCGCTCGCGGCAGAAGGCTGGGGAATAAAGGAGCCTCAGTGAGGAAGTCTGGCGCACCGACTTCCAAGGAGAACTTGAAAGTGTAGGAATTAAAGCTTGAATTCTGCTTTCAAATCACCTTGTGTGTGGCAATAACAAGCCTGTGTGCTTTTGACAGACTGATACTTTAAAAATAGTTTCGCCCTGAAACCAGAGAAATGAGCCCAGAGAGCGGCGCCTCGCTGCATCCAGGGACACAGCTGGGGGCTCACTCTCACAGCCTGGCTGGAAGCACCGCCAAGGCCAGGCCTGACCCCGTTTGCCCTCCCACGGCCGCCTCTCTGTCTCGCCTTCCAACATGGGAGCTGAGGTTGCTTAACCTGAAGGCTACGGTTAAGGCAGTCCCACGACGGTCTGCCGATGTCCTCACAGCAGCACCTCCTGGCGTAGCACAGAAGGGCACATCCCCGCCACTGAGGGATCTGGAACCCTCTGAAGGGTGCTTGGAGGAGCCCCAGGGGCCAGAGCTTCCCCCCACTCCCCATGGGGCACATGACCCCAAACACTGAGGGGCCTCTGGCCTGACGCCCTGACCTGTCAAGAGAAGGGGGTGGGGATTACTGAGGCCAAAGGCTGAGCGCAGATTCCCACCCTCAGAGCCAGCTTGGGCACCCCTCTGCCGCGACGTGACAGGCCAACTGGCAGCAGGCCCTCCCAGGTGGCTCTGGAGTTAAGAGCACACCCAGCCATGTTTTGGGAGCAGGACCTGCAGGGTGTCTAAGGACTGAGGAGTGGGCGCTCATGATCGAGATGAGGCTCCCAGGATGGCACAGGCAGGCTCCAGGCTGGCCCAGCCTCGCTGACCCACTCCCCGTGTCTACAACCCTGGACATGGCAGGTAGCTCCCAGCGCCCCCACAACACCTGAGCCCCTATGTGGCCAGGTGCCAGAAGGGGCGGCCTTCCAGGGGCACTCGCTCCAGCCAGCTAGAAAGACAACCAACAGCTAGAAAGACTCTCCTCTGGAAATGCGCTCCTCATTTTGAAATGGAACCACAGGGCCACAGTCTGCTCGACCCAAGCTCCTGCCGCCTCCTCCCTCCCTACTGTGCGCGTCCCCTGGGACTCTCACTCCGCACAGGAACCGCCACCTCCGCCACTGCTTCTGACAGCAGACACTCCCTCTCACCAAGCTGCTCTGAGGAACAGGCTGAGGATTAGTGGCCCCGGATGATGCCGCAGGCTCAGGGGTGCCAGTGCTGGGTCAGACCTGGCCTGGACTGTGGCACAGCCTCTCCACTCACTGGGAGACTTCGGGCCGGCGCGCGGACCTCTCTGAGCCGTGTCTGCGGGTTCAAGGAGGAAAG